TAGACATTTATTGAAAAATTATATTTTAGAGGAAATCGAAGTTTACGGCAGTTGTTAATATCAAACACAACATTTAGTTTTTTTTTTTTACATAGTACACAAACAACTTAGAAGACAATGAAACAAATCAATGGAAAATAATTTAATTAATTTCATTGAAATCAGTACAAAAGAGCGGAATGACAAAAGAGCGGAATGAGGGTCGTAATTGGAATTTTTCAGGCATTCAATTAATAATGATCAATTAAATATGACAAAGCACTCAAGAACTCTCTGCCTAATGGAAAGCCTATTTTGTTGAAGAAATAATAAATAAGATAATTATGTTATACACGAGGAAGACCACACAAACGCTTATGCAGCCAACCCATTCGCGGGGCTGAAATTATATTTACTGAGTAATTTTTGGAGAGCATATATGCTTGATAGTGTTTGCGATTGACAAGCTTAGTTGTAGTGCAAAACATTATCTTTGTGTCTTCTAGTGAGTTCATGTAAAAATAGCTTTGAGTATTACATCAATGTACAGGTACTTTGTTATAGCGGCTCCTGACCACATTAGGCGATTTTAGATTTGAACCAAGATCGTGAAGCGCGATAGTAAAAATAAACAACACGATATACTATAATAACATTCCCATGTCGTTTCTGAGAATGTGTTTTAAGAATACTTATCTATATCATTATTATTTCATCGTATGTAGTTCTGGGTCTTGAGTAGCTACCAGGCGCTTCGGCTGGTGGTGGATAGCCGGATGTCCTGTACTATCTGAGAGGATAACTTGGACTAATAAATAAGAAGCAACGAACCCCGGTCCCGTAATGATGGTGTTAGAGAATGTAATTTCTGAAAATCAATTAACACAAAAACATACGTTATAAGCACATTATGAATCGTCAAAATTGAGCTTTTAAAGTTTCAGCACAACTTTGCAACAGTACTTAAATGTAAGCTTTGTAAACAATTTTATTGTTCTTAATTCTGATAGTAAACAGATAATGTTTACAAAAATGATTTGTTGATTTGTAACGTGGGAACATCACCCTGTCTAATGCAATATATAATGTCCTGAAACGTTTTTCCTGTACCCACTACAATAGATAACATCTTCAAAATATGCACCTGCACAACTATGTATATCGCAATGTATATCATGTAATTTAATCCTTTTTTACTTGAGCTAATTTAACGCTGAAAGGTAGGAGTACCGTTGATGCCGCCGCCGGTGGCAGTACTTTTAGTGCTCACTGAAGTCAGAATTTCCATCACGACTCGAGGAATGAGGCCAGAATATTGTTAGTCTTCTAGTTAGTGTGTGGGGCTAATACCTACTTACTTAAGGTAAATATTAGGTGGCCCCCCCTCACTTCTACATAGCATAACTCGTGCCTGGGGTGAATGACACTATGGTTATAGTGTCTTAACGGAACCTCTGAAATGCCTGGAAACTTTTAGAGTATTTTGCCTTACCCAGCAACAGCCAGTACTGGGTTGACCTTTTTACATGCACTTTCTTAGCTTATATACGGCCGAAAAGGACAATATAACAAGAAATTCTGCTTTTGTAGTCAAAACCTTTAAGGTAGACCTTTTTTCTCAAAACAAGGAACCCCATAGGAAATCAATCGAAGGAGCATAAATGAATCCTTCATCAAGTTACTCAGTCAATATCTGGAGAAATGCAGGAAGCTATTAAAAGCATGAATGCATCTCTTGATAAAAAAAAAAACAGAAACGTAAAGATACTTTAAAAAACCAAAGGGGAAAAGGTGCCAAAAGAGACAGACATGAAAGTTATACCTTCGGGGAGGCTGTTACGGTGGTCAAGATAGCTGTGATCATTGAGGGACATACTGGAAAACGTTTATCGGAGGAACAGGCTACTGAAACTGGTAACGCTGAGTACTTTAGGTATTCTCAATACTAAAGAGTTACACCTGAGCTCTACTAAGGGGAAGTTAACAGACGCCAACTCTTCTGCCTAAGAGTACATAAATCTAAAAGCAGTGATCAACGATATTCTCTGGAAACGCTGAAGCAATTTCCAACGAGGCCCTGCTTCTTTTTGCAATTTTTAAAATTGCAGACATTCTTCGTTAACATAAGGTTTCATGCTGTGGCCATTTTCGCACAATGGCATCCACCTTAGTAAATTAAAGATTGTTAATGTCATAATCACAAAAAAGCAATCTATATATTTTAGAATAAACAATGCGAATTCAAAAACCTCATCAAAAATGAATAATATAAGAACACGCGGCCAGCGCAAAAATGCAACGGGGAAAGTGCAGAATTGCCCACTGCTTGGCGCGTTTTTAAGAATTGCACATACTCGGTATCCATGTGCACGTCGACCTATTTTCACTTAAAAATAATCCCAGAATTGCACAAAAATGGCATTGCCCACTCCCTTGACTTTATCCATGCGCACATCGACCTATTTTCACTTTAAAAGAAAATTGACAAAAATCCAATTCTTCTTACTCTTGTAAAAAGCGCCAAACAAATAAGTGGGCGATTCTGAACTTTAATGCCAATGCAACACCGTTCTATTATACAGTTACGTGGAGAGGTATAAGAACATGCAACCAGAAACTGGCCAGATACTCGGTTGATTGGCGATTCATTCTCGGAGGCCGCTATAACAAAGAAGTACCAATGAAACTTTTCCTTGTGTAATTTTTATAGCTGGTACTAAAAGGGTTAAACAAGAAGCAGTTTATCGATACAATTTGCCAATCTTTTCATACATATATATTCTTTTATTCTTTTAATATCAATAAATACGACGTAAGTATGCATGCTTGCATTGGCGAATGTTACGAGAAATTAAATACAATTTGCTTTCTTTCCTGTTAAATTAAAGAGTCGTCTGAAATACTGAAACGAAAGTTCTAGAGCAAAAAGTTCAATTTAATTATTTCGCTCAGATGTCCTGAAACGTTTTTCCTGTTAGTTACCCGAGTCGAGAGTTAGTTAATACAAATTATGTTTTAATGTTTTCCCCTTAAATAGTGCAAATGCGAATCAATTTACTTTATAATGGCTTTTAGGTAGACATCCTACTCCGTATTCTAATAGCCCAAATGTGCTTAATTCAATTAAAGGATAATAAAACAATCTATTAAAAATTTGAGCTTAAATGGTATGGCTTTCGCCATATGTATCATACGGATCCATAAGCATTTTTTAAAATAATTTTGGAATATAATATCAGTTATTTAAAGTTACATGATCATGATTAAATTTTAAAAAAATGATGTATGTACTGAAACACAACTTGATATTTTCCATGCAAAAAAAGGTTCCTTAGTAAAATGTGATGTTCTTCCCTATAAACTTTATATTAACTTTGAAAAGCTATAATACAAGCTATAATAACTAAGAAAGATCAAAACATTTAGTTCGCACTCTTCCTAAATGCACATCAATGTGTAACGCAATGAATATGGTGTATTTACGACATACACGTCAGCAGGGGCCCTCCAGGAAGTTCGAAATGACATGCTAGCATTCACCAGCAAACGACAGCCATCCTTCCCATTAGAACTCGGGTAAAGTTTTATGAAACATTTTGGTAAACCTATGTAGCTAATTTTTTGTGATTAAGAATGCACTGAAGTGTGTAGTGTTATGTATATGATACATAACACCACAATTTACTGAACTGCATCTTTAATAAATACGTATATAAAGAATTGTTTCTCTTTTTTTCCGGGGGCAAGAGGCACTACGAAAGTCAACTTGGGCAATTTTAACGTTCAGAAAGGTTTGCCAATATCAAAGCTAATTTTCCTTTTGTTCTAGCAACCTGTAGTTGGCGTTTCTAGTGATACAAATATGTTCATAGAACACCCATGATGTATATGCTCCAATGCTTATAATAGATTGCTTGGAAAACCTTCACAATTACGTTATTGAAAGTCTAATAATCTATTATATGTACTTTCAAGAAGAGAATGCTTATACAGAAATAAAATAGAAAATAAAGTATTGGGTTAGTCGGATTGCGGCAAATCACCCAATAACTGTAGGCCTAGGACAAATGACTCCGTGGAAAACATTTTAAGGAAAATTAACCTACAACCACGTTACATATGGGGAAAGCTAAAATGCAGCCAGCTCGCTCGTCGCAAATTGATTCTCGGTCCGATTACCAACGCTCGGGGATTTAACCTGCAGGCCACTTGTGAGCACAAGTAGTCTCTTACAATGGCGTAGGGAACCATGTATAATTCAGATTAAAGAACGGGAAGTTAAATGGTTTATTACTCAAAATAGTAAAAAGCAAAATTCTATCGGCATTGCAAATTTATAGTAAGCACTTTTTTTTCAGAAGGTGCTGAACAAAATAAATTTCTTAACTTGCATGATACACTTGAATATTGCAAGTTATTTTCAAGTAAATTATCTACCTTTTTAACGCTTAATTAAAAATTTATCCAAATTATGATTACTTACCTTTAATTTAAGAAATCTTCACACACGAGTTTCCACTCTGCAAATAGCATATTACACCAAATACTAAATTATTAAGGTATATACACCAAGGTAAAGACTTTTATCATTGAATTCTTTTGCATGGTTCGGTTTTATTTATCAGTAATTTGAAAACATTATTCCTGAAATATTAAATATAACTGATGGAATGAAACGTTAACAGCATCGCAAAAAGTGAACGAAAACGTTTTGCAGAAAATAAAAGCAAAATTTCATACACTTTCACACAGCGATGGGTTTATTGAAGCTTGAACTCTAAATACTGTAAAAATTCAAAAAATAGATAAAAATAAAATTCAAACAGCTTCTGCACAAAACCTAGTACGGAAGAGTTGTTAAACGTGCCTACTGACACGTGAGAAATATTTCAACATATTGTTTACTACTATATAAACTTGAAAATAAAATGTGCATTAGAGAATTCATTGCTACAGCAGCAAAAAAACCCGTTTTTAGAACTTCAGAGATAATCTTCATTGAAAAAAAATATTTTACGTACTTCGCCTTATAATTAAAAATTGCAGTAAACTATCAAGTCAAACAGACTTCTAATGCGTCAGACTGTCTTTGTAGTAGGAAGTACCATAAACGCAGGAAAACAGCAGATAAAGCTGATGTTACGGTTGAAGTGACCAGAAGAAATTATTGAATAAGAAAACGGTACTGAATTGTGAGAGTTACGAGTTTTGTATATGATATTTACTATAAAATAAGACCCCATCAAAAATATAACTCTCCATGCATTCTAAAATGAATTTTAAGAAACAAAAGTATAACTGAATATTTATTTTGTCTTGGAGTGTTTCTTAGAAATTTAGCTGCCTTTTCCCTTGCAACAATAGCCATCCAAGGAACTTTTAGTGGTGTTATTTATTTGTTTTTAGGAGATCAGTGACCAGTGTGGGTGTATATACACTGCACAAAAACTAGTACATAACAGTGTATATATATATATATATATATATATATATATATATTATTTACTCCAAATTGAATTGACTAAAATGCTTCATAAGAATAAGTTCTTTGAGTATCAGCATTGGTTTATAATTCCTTCTATTCGCGGAAATTTTTGGCCTGACTAGAATTGCCGGTTTGGCTTTAACTTATAACTCGAGTAAAGACGAAACACTTTCGTATTTACGTATTTTTATTTTTATCATTATTGTTCATTGAACGGGAGTTGGTTTGTTCCCCTTGAAAAGTCAACTAATTTCCGATCAATGACAATGATTACACGTTTTAATTTTTCCTTTTACAATTGAAAATTTTATTCTTCATGATGATTTAATCCAGAGTCCGTTAAAACATTATTAACATTTGGCTTTCAAAAATTACTTCAAAACTCTCTTCAAAATATAACTTACCAGTATGGATTCACACTTTTAAATTAATTCTACTTTAATTAAACTTAGGAGATAATATAATCAATTAATCAATACTGTTTAGGAAATAAATTATTATCAACTAACTTTGCAGCAATTGCGCAAGTAGTAATAACTTGTATTCGCACTAAATGGATTTAAGATCATACAACATTATATATATATATATACATACACATTGCAAATCAATTCAGGTGGGAATCTACTGTACTGGTCACTGATATGCCTAAAAACAAATATTATAAACAAATTTATTTGAAATACATGTAAAAATATTTCATTTCTTATTATTTTATGCTACAGACATTTGCACGAAAATATTCAGAGCACTCTCCCTTATTAAGCAGATGGCAATATCTGACAATTATTCCGCAATGTCCGGACTGTAATTATATAAAATTGATTATTGCAACTCTCCATAACAGTGGTTCTAGCAAAGGAAATACACATGGAATCTCTCAAAATTCTAAATGGGCATTCGATCTTCGCTCTCACACCGAATTTACAGCTCTACTAAGGCTTTTGTAACACTTTGTAATTTTATGTAATGAATATATGTGACCACAAAATTCTTTAGAAGTGCAAAAAGTTAGTAATCTCTTCAATATTTGACTAGAAATGAAAATGTTATAGATAAAGAGCAGTTTGAAATTTAACCAAGAGTACCACAAAGTACATGTGTAGAGTTATTAGGTATTTTTGAAGAAGCAGACATGAAAAAATGTGCAGCGCCCTCGCCGGGACTCGAACCCTGGAACTCTCGAATACTAGTCGAGTAGGCTTCCAGTTACACGACGAAAGCATGCGGAAAGGACGCAGAAAATACCTTATATACTCACTCTTTTAAAGGGTGACTGGGGATTAAGGAACTCAATCGTCAAATCGTGGTGGTGACAAATTATGATCCACCACCTTTTTTCGGGCGCCACTTGTAGAGTCATTGGGTTATTTAAGCAGGAGACGTGAAAAATGTGCAGTGCCCTTGCCAGAGCTCGAACTCTAGACCTCTCGAGTACACGATCAGTGTGCTTCCAATTATACTACGAAGGCATGCGGAAAGAAGAGACAAACTACCTTACTCCCCTATAAATTACTTTTAAATTATGAACATTTTCTTTGAGTAGAACTTAGCCATAATCTTCTGCATTCTTGCAATGTAACAAGATCTAGACTCTGAAATAAAATGGAAAGTGTACTTAAACAACTCCAGCATACATCAAGCCGAACTCTCAGCAATAAACGCTGTCATTAACATTACATCAATAAAAAATTTCTCGAAAATATCCATTAACTCAGACAGCCAAGCAGCCATACTCTCTATCCGAAATCCAGACAACCGTTTTCACATGGGCCATGAAATTAATCAAATCTCTAAAGATCTCAATACTGAAATAACCATGATATATAATACTTCTTTTTCTGCGTTAAAAATTGAATTTCACAATTAGCAAATTTGCTAATGCTCATGCAAAAGTTCTTTAAATTAATGAAAAATTATCATCAAAATCAAACCTTTCGAAAAGTGGTCATGCATGTTAAGGAAAATAAACATGAAGCCATAAAAACGCATAGAAGTATTCCGTAAAATCAGCTACATACTAGAGAGCTTCTTTTCTGTATAAATAATAGTTTTTAATTTTTTTAAACAAATGGTTTACTTGTCACCACTCGTTTAAAATTCAGAACTCACTAAATTTTTTAATTAGATGAAACAGCAACTTTATACTAATACCAGTATCTCTTTTGCTAGTCTCGTGTCAGCCGAAATAGAATCAGATCATAATAGTCAGATCCTCTTATGAATTATACCAAAGGCTCACAGTCAAAAGAAGCATAATGCACACAATGCCGAGCGAAAATTAAGTTTATATGAATGATGAATGAAACGAAATGAAAAATAAATGAAAGCTTCTTATGTCCCCCTCCCCCCCAAAAATATCGCGGTAGATAAAAAAAAAATTGGTGTAGTCGTACCATCAATCAAAGGTAGGAAAAAGGAAGCCCCCCCCCAATACAAGTCCCTAGTAAAAGCTGAATATTCTACTTGAGCGTGTTGCCTCCGCGCCAAGCTATCTTGTCGGTAAGTATGGTTTTCACACTTCACTTTCAGGAAACTGAAGAAGCATCTGGGCTACTCTGAAAACTAGCGATAATAATAATTTCTATAAATATTTTTTTAAAAATACCAACTCCATTACAACACCACTCATCGTGACGTTTGAATCCAAAATCTTTAATTCAAGAAGCCAACGTTTTATCACAAGGCAACAAGAGCAATCTTAAATTGATATAGATATATTTTTAAAAAAATTCAAAATCTGAGATTTCGAAATCCATCACTATTTTCTCGCAACAATCTATTGCTTTAGATTATTCTGTAAAAATTATCAACCATCTATGATTTATGGTTGATTATTAAGGTTTATTATTGCTAATAAACTTGAGAATTTTCCTTTAATTAATTTATAAAGCTATTTATTATATTAGCATATTCATTTTTTTATTATTATCTGAAATTTTTATTAAGATTAGTCTATTTGACTTTTTTCCCCCATCAAGACGAATTTTTGAAAGTGCAATCATATTTAAAAACCATGGTATAAACTTGACGTTTCAAACGAGATGCTTGAAACTGGCGCTTCAAACGTCAAAAAGTTGAAGTTAAGTCAACTCACGCGTCTCTAGCCATTCGGCAAATGCCGCCTCTGAAACACGCTTCTGATTGGTTAACTCGGGAACCCGTGACCGCGTTGATGTGAACGTAGCTTAACAGGTCGGCGCATTCACCAGTTCTTTCTAAAAATCGGCATAGAAACCAGAAGCTCCAGGTCCTTCCTAACTCATTACCTCACCGGACATGTCCCATATCCAGATTATATGTTTAAAAGGAACCTCGCAAATAGCGACAATTACATCTGTGGAGTCAAAGGAGATGCAGACCATTAGCTATTCTTTTGCCCTCTTACAAGTGACCTAAACATTAGGAAACCCACCATTCTAGATCTTAAGTAGATTGATGATATCTCAACGCCACTTATATCCAAAAATCCTGAAAGTACACCAAGAGCTCAATGCTCTAATACTATGCCAAATCACCTGTAACATATTTTCTCACATAACAAGAATCAGACTTCCAATTTATTAGCAAAATCAAATCCCACATGTTTTATCTATTTATATAAAAATGCAAAAACTTCCAGTGCAACGATATCCAAAATATCAGACGTACTGTATTTATGTAATCCAATATTCTCACGAGTATACTCAACAGTTTGTGTTATACACTACTCCGACATTGGAAATGCAACACCAAGAAGGAGTGATCAAAAAGTGATGAAACTCGGCGAACAAAGAGAGACTGCTGCGAACAATAAGTGATCTTTATTTCGAAATGAAATCGTAATACAGAGCGAGAACAGCGTTGGCTCAGTAGGTTGTAGGACAGCTTCGGAGGGCGATACACGAAGCAACACGTATGGTACAGAGTTAACGAGGCTACGGATGGTGTCCTGAAGAATGGCTCGCCATTCCCTGTCAACCATTTGCTACGGTTCGTCTTCTGAACGCGGCAATACCAGGATCTGCAAATGGCGTCCAATCACATCCCAAATATGTTCGATTGGTGAGAGGTCAGGAGAGAACGGTGGCCAGGGAAGCACCTACACATCTTTCAGAGCATGCTGACTGATGCAAGCAGTGTGTGGTCGGGCGTTATCCTGCTGATGAAAGGAATTGGACACTCCTTGAAGGTAGAGGAGTGTAACCGACCGCAACACATCATCCACGTATCGTTGGACCGTCACAGTGCCCTGAATACCAACTAGAGGTTACCTGGAATCGTATGCAATTGCGTTCTAAACCATGAAGCCGCATTGTCACGCTGTGGGGTGTTCCACAGTTGCTGCCGCATTGGACCTGTCTCCACACCGATGCCACACTCGTACGCAGCGAATATCATTGGAGAAACAGAAGCATGACTCATCTGAGAACACGACCCTGTGTCATTCCGTCGTCCACATCGCTCGAGCCCGGCACCATTGCAGATGTTGGCGTTTACGATGTGGAGTCAATGGCAGTATTCTTAACGTACGCCACGAGTGCAGGCCACTAAGCCACCAATCGACAGCAAATGGTTCTGGTCGATACGGAAACATCCAGAGAATTTTTAACATTCTACACAATGAAAGGTAGAAGTGGCTTGCGGATGTGTCGATT